GACGGTTGATAGCTGTTTTCTTTTTGTTTGTCTTGTCCTTTTTATTCGTTGTGTTCTCTTCAAATATGTTACGACATTGTTTTCTCGTTCATAATTAAATGATTTTTGTATTGGCTTTTCTTTTGCAATGTTTGCGTCACTATTATCATCAGTATTATTGTACAATGTATCAGATTTGGAACACACAGCTTGTTCATCATATTTCGATGTAACTTGACTGTCATCTTCAACGGCTGAAATAAAATGCAATTAATATTAATTGTTATAGTAGAAAAAGAATTGTCAAAATTTTTTATTCGTTAGTCTTCATGGCTTCCGGATGGTTGCCGCGTCCGTTTGCAGTGTGGTGCCGACGTTTCGCAGGCGTTGCAGTCTGCTTCATCAGGGCTGGGAGACTCTGACACTGAGCTCCCTCGCGTTGCGCTCGTCCTTTTATACTCGTTCTTGGGGGGAAGGGAGGGGGTAGTCAGGGGGGAGCGTGGTCAGAGGGAGGGGAGTCAGCCAATCCCGGCTGACGGACGGGAGTCAGAGGGAGGGGAGTCAGCCAATTCCGGCTGACGGTTTTTTAAAAAACCGGGAGGGCGGTGTGCCATATCGGGCTCACCTGATAGCCTTTGTCGCGATTCAGATTGTCAGGGTGTTTCAAGATTTCTATGCCTTCGCGGTGTTTTCGTGCGAAATAGCTTTGGGACGGGGCCAGCATGGTGGCTTTGTCGAACTGGATGGCGTGTCCGGTCTCAATCTTGTGTTCGGCTAGAGTTGATTGTGAGAAGTGGCCGTATTTGGCACATCGCTGGTGTTCTTTGATTCGTGTACTAATCTGTCTCCCGGTTTCTCCTATGTACACTTTGCCGCAGGAGCATGGGACCTTGTAAACCCCTGGGGCTGTCAAAGGGGGTCTCCGGTCCTTGGGATTGGGGAGCATTTGTGAGAGCTTGTTGAAAGGTTTGAAAATCGCTTTGATGTTGTGTTTGTTCAGGATTTTGCTGATGCGGTCCGTGGTCCCTCTGACGTATGGGAGTACTACTGCCTTAATCTTCTCTTTCTCTGTCTCTGGTGTCGTGGTGTTGTTCTGGCCGGGTTCCTTGTTGGTCAGCTTCTTGATTGTACGGTTGATGTTTCTGCTGCTGTATCCGTTCCTGATCAGGGTTCGGTGAAGGTGGTTTAGTTCTCCGTTCAGGGCGGCTGGTTCCGAGATGGAGAGTGCTCTGTGGACTAGAGAGCTGATTACCGAATTCTTTTGGGCGGGGTGATGGTGGGAGTTTGCGTGGAGGTGGAGGTATCGGTCCGTGTGCGTTGGTTTGCGGTAGACGTTGTGGCTTAGGGTGCCGTCTTCGTTCCTTCGGACCAGGACATCCAGGAAGGGGATTTGGGAATTCTGTTCGGTCTCCATTGTGAATTGGATGTTGGGATGTTGGGAGTTGATGAAAGTGAGGAATTGAGGTAGAGTTTCCCTTCCGTGGTTCCAGATGACGAAGGTGTCGTCCACGTATCGGAACCATGTGGAGGGTTTTTGTGGGGCCTTCTTCAGGATTTCATTCTCGAAGTGTTCCGTAAAGATGTTTGCGATGATGGGTGATATCGGGTATCCCATTGCTGCTCCCGTGGTTTGTTCGTAGAATTCTCCTTCGAACTGGAAATAGGTGGAGTTGAGGCAGTGTTCTATTAATGGGAACAGGGTGGATGGAATCTCTTTGGATGTTCTGATGATGTCCAGAGTGTCTTGGACTGGGACGTTGGTGAACAGAGAAACCACGTGGAAGCTTACCAGGATGTCGTTGGGCTCGGTTTTGATCTTGGTTATTCTGTTCACGAAGTCCATTGAGTTCCTGATGTGGGAGTCGTTGAGGCCGGTAAGTTTTTGGAGGGGTTTGGTGAGGTAGCGGGCTAGTTGGTAGGTGGGACCCCCGATGTTGCTGACGATAGGCCGTAGGGGGACTGATTCTTTGTGAATCTTCGGAAGGCCGTATAGTCTGGGTGCTGAGCTATCGCTGGGGGTCAGGTGTTGTGCGTCCCGACGCAGTCGGGGCACGGGTTGTGATTCGGGATCGTTTGCCGGGTTCACACAACGACTCTTTGTCGACTATTCAACCGTTTTAATAAAAAAAGTCTTCTTTATTCAAAACTAGTATAATTCTTTCACCTGCGTCACAGCAGTTAACCGTATCGTTACTTAGCTTAGATTGACCCGCCTTCCTTCCTTTCCATTCCTTTTTATATTAATCGCGCTTGGCCCTGTTGTCAGGCCACTTATTGTATTTAGTAAGCAGTTGTTCCGTTAGCAACTGTCTGCGCGGCTTCGATGGATTCGTACTTCGCTCCGGATACTCGTTTTCGTCGCATGCGGCAGGTGTTATCTGATACCTTGCCGCGTGCGAAGTCGTCGTCTGATGTGCGGTATATCGCACTCATGACACCCTTCCCCCCTAATGGAAAGAAAGTGAGGGGGCGAACTTTATTTTTATACCCACTTAATGATAAAGTTTACATGTTTTGCTTAGTCTATTCCTACACTTGATTATCTTCCTCTATGGCAGCGGGCTTCGTCACGTTCCCTTTTTTATTTTTTAGTTTCCTT